TACGATTTCATTACAATCGCGGAATCGAAAAAGGAAGTAAAACTGATTTTTGCATTAATGCGTTTATTGTTTTTTGAATATTTTGCCTGCGAAAATTACTTAGATATTATTTTTCTAAAAATATCGTGGAAATAAGGTAGGTTGATACAGAAACTATTTATCAAACATATACTATATATAAGCTTCAAAAAATAAATAAATAAATTAAGTAATTAATTAACAATAAATAAATAAATAAAAAATTTTATCAAACGATGAGATCAGCCGATTAATTGTATCGTGTACAATGTTATACCCCTAAGGAAAATACTGTAGGTCTACGGTAAAATAAATTTTGTTTTCTCACAGTTAAACTTCGTTGCTAATTGCCGTTGTGATAAACCATTTTCACTTTCTCTGATAATTTTAACACAATCTTCTAACGACAGCACTTTGCATTTCTTTCGTTTTTCTGACATTATTGAAATGAATTTCCTTTGTTGCTAGACTAATTTAACACCTGCACCTAATTTCAAGCGTGGGATGGGTTCGAACAAGAGTTTAGACTAATTCATTATATTAGGAGGGGGAAATGTTGTTGAGATGGGTTCGAACAATAGTTTAGACCAGATATATTTACGGAAGTGGTCGCTTATTACAGGTGTTGTATGATGTTTCGGACCAAAAATCGATGCCCGCGGTCGCGTAACACAGGTGGTCGTTTAATACGGGTAACTTATACGAAGACTCTATGTATAAACTATTCCGTGCCAGAAATTTTTGTCCGTTTTGACAGGTGCCCGTCGAATGCAGGTAGTTGCATAAGCAGTTTTCACTGTATATTACATGAAGAGATATTTAATTTATTTGAAGGTTATAGTTTATTTTGCTGTGTGATTTAATGAAGAAAGAAATATTGATATATATTCAAATAGCCATCAAAAATAGTATGACAAATGAGTAATTCAGGTTTAACTTGCCTGTATGGTGGGTTAAATTTCAGACCACTGCCATAAAACAAATGTTTTTTTTTTTTTTTTTTTTTTGTTAGTGTATATGAAAACTTAAACTTATGTTTATACTAACATTCTATAGTGCTAGGCCTAAACATTGAAACAAAAGTAAAAAAATAAACACTCCAGAAATCTCTTTAGAGCAAGCTCTTCTGAAAATATTAATGTGAATATAATTGAAAAGTGCTCTAAGGCAAATTGCCTGAAAGTGAGGTACTGTACATCTGTGCTTATATAAAACTTTTAAAAATATTACTCCAAATATTTAACAACATCTCTCTTATTTCTAGTATAACAAGTTTTAATATAAAAAAATTCACTTCAAATGTATGTTACATAAGATGTGGCCTGATGAACTATGAGTTAAAACAGTGGTTACCAAAGTGTATGCCAGAGTGCCACAAAATGTTATAAACTTTTTATAATTTTACTTTATTTTAAAAATATTGTGTCATTTTTAAGAATTAAAAATTAAAAGACAATTTTAGTACATTAACTTAAATTTTAAAACGTGCTAAAATTAAAAACTTTAGCACATTTTAGCACATTAAACATTAAAAAAATATATTTAAATTACAAAAAAATGTTTACAAATAAATACACACAAAAACACTTTTCTTACTATGTTGTACAAATAGTTCTTTTCATATGAGACTTTGTCAACAAAGTTTTGCTTTTTTGTAAATTACTGTATATAGGGTGCTTCCTATGGTATTTTCGGTGCTGCTTTTAAGTATAAGTTTAAATTTATAAATCTGAATATTCTACTAACTCTATCTTTTATCATCATTTCAGTCTTATCAGATTTAGTGGAAAATCTGTTAACTTGGCATTACTGCATATGTCACATGCTCTTTATATACTGTTGCTTATCAAAATTCACTACATTGATAACCCTAAGATTGTGTGTGGGGAAAGTGGATCATTACAAATAACATTTCTCTGGATGCAAATATATAAAGCTTCATATAGTGGTTATCTTGTGTTTACTACCTAGACTGTTTATTATATTATATAATTTATACAGTATTATGTATAAAAAAGACAATTTGAATATGTAATACTTATAAATAGATGAATGTTAAATTTTTCACTATAATATGATTTTTTAAAATTTTTCTAAATTTTAAAAACAATAGTCTAATAAATGTTTATTATATTTTCTTGAAGACAACACACTATGATAAACAATGCAGAATACGAGCAGCAGTGATTGTGTGATTTTGGATGGAACTCCAAATCATTCCTCTTCTATTTCAGTACCAGTGTTTAAAACAGCTGTTGCAAATAATGCAAGTATATCTTCATTAGAGGAAATGGAAATTGAGGATATATCTGCAGAAGTAATTCAAAAAACTCCAAGGTGACCTAATGTTTCTATTTAATAAAATTTAAATATTTCATTAAATAATTCATACATTGAATTAATCTGTAATTTGAGGTTTAAAAATAATAATTTTAGGAAGTTATAAATTTTATTTTAAAAAATTTAAACTTTATAATAGAAATTAAGCCAATGGTTTCACAATACTTCACCATTATTGCTTTACTGTTGAATTGACTATTTACTATTATATGTATTTAAAAATAACTACATTACTTATTAACATGCTTGCTGTGATTTTCTTAATAGATAATTTTTCAATAATGTAGTTTTTTTATAATTGTGTGCTTAAAAAATAAAATCTAATCAGAATTGATCTATTACTACATACATACATACATACATACATACATACATACATATCCTTATAATTTTTAATAAAAGATATACAGATATCCCTCATATAACACTGTAGTTACATTTCAAAAAAGTTACCATATTGTGCAAATCAATGCTATACAAAACAAAGAACTAATGCAAAACATAGAAGGATATTCCAAAAGTTAACAAAAGTAAACTATTCTTTTTTGTTAGTAAGAGAAATATGTTTATCAAAGCAATCAATAATTAACTAACAATCACAATCAAAAGTACTGTATTATGCATTAATATTAATTTTAGTTACGCGAGAGTTTTGTTTTTACAAAGTATCATCATCTGAGCTTTTTTGTTGATCTCATCAGAAATATCAACATCATCGTCATTTTTTTTATTTATTGTTATCATAATTTTTTATGGATGACAAAATAAAATTATGTTACTAATCGAAAATTTGATGCTTAAAAAAATCATGATTGCTAAAGATGGAATGAATGTTTCCCGAAAATATTTTGAAAGATAGTTTTTAAATTCCTTGAATGAGACTTGGTGTTGTCTTTTAATAATGTACAGTACATGGAGTCATTGTTTACTAATTATCATGACCTGTAGATGTTTTTTGAGAAGTATATAGGGAGTAACATTTCTTAACCATTGGTCATAACTTCTTGCCTTCATGGATTTTGGCAAATACTAAGTCTTGGAGGGGCCAGAGCTGAAACATTTTTATTGCTCAGGAAGGGCAGTGCTCTTCTAAGAAGTTTTGGCTGGCTTAGAAATAGAAAGTGAACTAAAGAAATTGATAATTTTTTAGTTGATTATGACAGTTGAAAAATTTTATTTATTACAACTCTGTTTCATACACTACCTGTGCTTTGTACAAACACCGCCACATTAATCAAAAACTGGCTTAGACACAAATCTGGTATTTGCTAGGGTTGATAAAAGAAAACTTTTTGTCCTGGCAAAAAAATCCACATGTCAGGAAAGGTTAAACAGTTAAATCAAGAAACTGGATGAAAGGAAGCAAATGACCACTATTCTTTGACACAAACCATGTTAAAGTGCTAACTAAAACTATATTTAGATTGGCTGTAAATGTTCCCAGTTGCAAGTTTCTCTTGGTGAATGACACAATGAATAAAATCTGTTTCTTATTAGTATGACAATGCGCAAGTGCTCATATGCTTCTGCACCATTTGACTGAAGGGTTGACACTATTTCATTGGTGCCACATCAGGATTCTGATACCACTCTGTCTTATGGATAGACACAGAAACCACTATGGTCACTAATTATTGTTCATGTACGAGCAGTCACATTTGTAGTCATCAGATTTGGGATGGAGGAGGTCCAAGAGACAGCACACCCGAAAGAAGGTCATTCAACTACAGATTTAATGCAAACAAATACCTGTTTTATTTACATAGGATTATGCATATTATATAGGAGGTAAACAAATATAAATACCAGACAAACGTCGAGCTGTTTGCACAGAAAGTCCACTTGAGAAGAACCTGGCTATTATAAGTGATGATAAAACCGACATAACTATCTGGTTAGTCATGAATACCAACAAACAAAATGGAAGTTTTGGTTATAAATAAATACTTTTTCTTACCATATACAGGTAGCCCCCGTATAACACGGCACTTCTATAGCATGGATTCACTCTAACACGGTTTGAGAATTGGGAACATCCCCCGTATAACACGGTGCTTTTATAGCATGGGTTCATTCTAACACGATTCGGGAATTGGGTAAAACCTTCATACAACATAAAATGTAATAAAGGGTGCGTTCTTTTATACCTCCGTGTAACTCTGTGCGAGCATTCTAATTGTTTTCATGGCTACTTTGAATGCTCTTTCAACAAATAATCCATTTAATGGTTAAATTTTACAATTGGGACCCTTCTTTTGCCTCTAATTTTAGAATTATAGATTCCTCCACACGATGCTCATTTTAGAATTATAGATTCCTCCACACGATACTATCGATAGTGTGGGTGCCGCCGTCTTTCTTTCACCGTTGTTCCTAAATGTCTACAAACAGCAGTGCACTCCCATTGCAGAGCGACTGCTATTAACAAATGCACCCAAAAACTGTTACCAATTGATGATGCTCATGCTGAGATCATCATATAGGATGAATAATTCTCTGGTAAAATATTTACTTAAATAATAAATGAGTATTTTACCTATGAAAAAAAAAGAATAATAAATCCGATTTAAATAAGGATTTAACAACATGTTTTTTAATTTTTGGAACCTAACCCCCTTTTTGCACGAGTTCTTTGTTTCATATAACACAGATTTGCATAACACGGCAATTATTTGGAAAGTAACTCCCGTGTTATACGGGGGTTACCTGTATCTAATAATAGATAGATGTCATCGTCTCTCCAGATGTCTTCTTTATTTCTCTGTTGATAGGCCGATACATGTTCCGTAGCCATCTTGTATTTTCTCACGCGCGTGAGATTGTGGGATCTCTCTTATGACTGATCTCTCTTCAAGAACTCTCTTGAGTTGATCACAATTGAACTCATTTCAGTCTAGATTGAAACCGTCGAGAGAGGTTGCACCATGGCATAGTCGCCAACCTTGGTCACAATCTAGATCAAAATGCTTAGTGCGAACGGGGTATTAGGTTCCTGATACAGTTGAAAGCAACACATTCAGATGTATCATCTCTGGACAAGGAAACAAGTCTGTGGGAAACGATATAATCCTATCCTTTTTTGGTTTTTTTTTTTAATTTTCTTTTGAAAAATTTTTGAATAAAATTTTTCATCAAGTCCGGCAAATTTAATTCTGGCTACAAATTGCATTCTTTTTCATCATAATTTTAATGCAGTTATTCCATTCTAGACCTTCTTACTTAAAAAGTTTATTTTCTCATTTACTTTCTGAAAAAATATATAATGGTTGACAGAATAGTAAGTCTTCATGTACTGTACAGTACATTGTCTCATTGCCATATCTGTCAAATGTTAACAGTCAGACCGAGCCTCAAATATTCATTAAGTTAATGCATATTTGGGGCTCAGTTCAGCTTAACAGTAAATTGGAACTTTCTTTATTTCATACAACAAATTGCTGGAACTAGTTGTTACAAATTTCGGAAATTCTTTTACTGACCTTGTCATTTGACAAAAGAATTTTATGCAAGTATTTGCATATTTTTTCAGGAATTGTTTTATTTGAAATGAAACAAGCAAAATAAGGTTTTCATAAATTAGTATATGGCTTTTTAGCTTTTATTGTTAACTATGAGGCTTCATAAGTAAGGTCTGGAATTTTATGCAGTTAAAACTGCCATTTTATGCACATATACAATAGACCTCCCCTATAATATGGTAGATATGTTCTATTTTATATGAATTCGTTTATACGAATATGATTGCAATTTTTTCACCATTATATACAAATCTGTATTATATGAACCCATTTTATAGGGGGGTCTACTGTATATGACACAAAAATAATCAAATTATGCACTTAACTATTCTCTAAAAGCTTGTTTATTATAATATGTAAATAATAATGAGTTCTAAAAGCATTTATTTATGTAATAAATGATATGTATGTTATTTATATTATTTATTGTAGGGAAATCTAATGATTACAATATACAATGAAATATTTTGACAAATTTTCTTCATTGAAAGGTTTAGTCTATGTCACTGTCTTTACATCTTGTGAAAATTTGAACATACACAAGAGATGCTATTTCCCTTGGACTTAATTAAAAATTTCACTAGATATTGCTTCACACAAAATCATATTATTTATGCTACAAATAGCTTTTCATCTGTAATTCCTGTCTAACACATACTTTAATTTCTTCATTAAAATGGTTCTTACATGTCCATGTAGACTTGATTTTATTGATTGCCAAATTGACTACATTGATTGATTGAGATAAAATTTGATAATCATGTCTTTAATGAAACAAATTGATTTTAATACAGGCAACAAGTTATTGCTTAATGCTGTTACTTTCAGGGCACTTCAGAACTTTAGAATACAGTAGAGCGTCATTTATCCAAATCAATTGTGGACTGGTGTTGTTCGGAAAATCAATATTTCGGATAACCGATTATGTATGTATGAAAAAATATATTAACCTATCCCATGTTGAAAGTTTTCTTCGTTGCGTGTTGCTTTGCGTTGAATTTTCGTCGATGTTAAGCCTAACGAAGACTATTGTATCGTTAAAAATTATTTTTTTATTTTGTACAAACAAAATAAATATATTGAAAAATATAAAAACAATAAAAAATTATACTTTAGAAGTTAATTTAGTATCAAAAACGTAAAATATTTGAGTAGCCCAAGACATAGCCAAAGATTGCAGCGCCACAACACTGGCAAAAATTTTAATTTGCCGACTGGAATTCTTTCGGATAATTGACTTTAGGATAAACGACACTCTACTGTAAAACATTTTGACAACTTGATGTGCATTGTGAATATTGTCAGCATAGTAGATGACAGAAGATAGCCATGTATCCCAGATTGCATTGGTACACACACTGGTGGAATAGACACATTTGGAAGCATCCTAAAATTCCTGTGGTCTTTTGGAGCATTAAATTAATTAAGAAGACTTTTTTGCAGTTGTCAATCATTTTATTGGCACCAAGAAATGTCATGCAAACAATATCACAAATTCTGCTAAGTTAAAGGTATGTTCTAAGAAGGTTAAATGGATCATTTTGGTTTAAAACATTTTCAGCACATCAACGGCTTTGAGCATATATCCAGCAACATTGGACATGAAAAGAAGCATTCTATTGTAATGTATTCCATTTGACCACAAAATCTGTAGTGCATAATTTATGCATTTCACAATGGTTGAATGAATGATTGCTTCTAGGAAAAAATAAGTATTTTTTGTTGCTGCTTCTGCACTTTTAAGAGCACTGTCAAGCTGACCAACTGTTATATTAACAACAATCTTACTAAGTGTCATCTGTGGTTTTGTCAATGGATAACTATAAATTTTTTCCTTCTAAGCCAGTTCTGATTGTATTGTTGGTTTTATTGTACAATTTACTGATGTAATTCTTTTGAAGAGTCAATTCATTTGGTATTCCTCAAGGAAATTCTTAAATTCATCATGGTGCATGTGTAAAATGGAATGTTGGCAGCAATCGATGCTTTGTGTAAGTTGCAAGAAAACTGCAACTTACCCTGACAATTTATAATGCACTGAAGGTCATTGAACAATGTTCTGTTATAGTTCAACAGTTAACAGTGTATTTAACAGTTAAGTCTGATTCAATACTCAATTACACTGATATAAATATATTTTTAATTAAATCAAGTACAGTACAATATCTGTAATATCTAATCATAAATAAATTTGATAATGAAAGTATTTGTTGGACTTATTTTATATACTTAATTCTTATTTATTACTCCAGGAAATACATCAATTGCAATTTTTCTTCATATGAAACCTTGTAATTTTTTATACCTTTTAATCCAAATATCATATAAATTCAGATAATTTTTTTACAGCATTTATTATACAATTTATCATGTGACTTGAATATTCTCCATTTTACATTTGTATAATAAGAGACAATCAATCATTTACATCAAATACAGAACACATGATGCCATTTCACAATTATATTGTCCTTGATCAACAAAAGAATGTCAAGTTTAATCATGAACTGAACTTTCCATTAGATTGTAAGGTTCAGTGCAAGTTAGTATTACTTAATGGAAGGTGACTTGCACTATGAACACTAACAGAATGGAGTGTTGTCAACAGAACATTGAGGTCTCTAGACCCCATTTGATCCCACTGGCCTTTAAATCCCCATTAAGCTAATAAACTCTATTATTCAGCTATCTCCTCTCATACTACAAAAAGGGTTAAATGATACTGGCTCAAAAGTGCTTACTAATTAAAGTTCAAAATCTTAGAATCAAAGCTTAAACTTACTCATAAAGGATGTTGACTCTCTAATTTTAAATACCAAATCTGATATCATCTTATGTATGATCAACTGGTATAAAATTGTGATTACTGAATATAACAATATCACTGGATATACAATTAAAAATTAAAAGACAATTTTAGTACATTAACTTAAATTTTAAAACGTGCTAAAATTAAAAACTTTAGCACATTTTAGCACATTAAACATTAAAAAAATATATTTAAATTACAAAAAAATGTTTACAAATAAATACACACAAAAACACTTTTCTTACTATGTTGTACAAATAGTTCTTTTCATATGAGACTTTGTCAACAAAGTTTTGCTTTTTTGTAAATTACTGTATATAGGGTGCTTCCTATGGTATTTTCGGTGCTGCTTTTAAGTATAAGTTTAAATTTATAAATCTGAATATTCTACTAACTCTATCTTTTATCATCATTTCAGTCTTATCAGATTTAGTGGAAAATCTGTTAACTTGGCATTACTGCATATGTCACATGCTCTTTATATACTGTTGCTTATCAAAATTCACTACATTGATAACCCTAAGATTGTGTGTGGGGAAAGTGGATCATTACAAATAACATTTCTCTGGATGCAAATATATAAAGCTTCATATAGTGGTTATCTTGTGTTTACTACCTAGACTGTTTATTATATTATATAATTTATACAGTATTATGTATCTATTTTAATCACATAAACAAGCATTAAGTGTCTGGATATTTAATCAGATGTTATGTGAACAAGAATTGTTGATGGGCTGCAGGTTGGTCAAGCCTGTTTTGAGTATATTGTGTGTACATTTTGTATTTAATAAATATTTGTTTTTTGTTTATATAGAATAATTATAGTATCTTATTATAAACTTGAATTTATAATGATTACTATTAATTTTTTTCAGTCCCCTCTTATTGCATAACAATAAATGTCAACAGATAGCTGTAAATAAGGGATTGAAACGGACTTGTCTAGAAAAAGCTTTTTCAACAATGACTACATCATCCAATCATTGTATTAGTGAAGAGTGCCATTCTGATATTCAGAATCGGGAAAATGTTTGTCCAGAATATAATAGTATTAAGTCAAATTTTCTATCTTCTTGTCCTATAACAGAAATAATTATGAATGATTTCAAGCAAGAACAAATAAACGGAAAGATTTTAATCCCTCCTAATGAAAATCATTCAATTGATTCCTCATCAAAGCAGTTTAACAATAAAATCACAAGAGACCTTGACTCTTATGACATTCCTTCACACAAAACTGTTTATCCTCAAAAAAGAAATACATTAGATATGTATGGTGATAGTGATCTTAGTACTGAAGATGATTTATATGAAGCTGAAAAAAGAGAGAAACATCTGAGTAGAGCTAAATTGAATCTAAAATTGAAAGATAAAAAAGGAAGGAGAAAATGTAAAAGTGCTAATGAGAAGAAAAGATATTTAAGTTATTTTGACTCTGATTCTAGCCCGAATAGACTAAATGATAAACCTGTGAAAGAAAGAAATTCCAATCATCTTTCTCATAATGATTCTTTTGATTTGATTGAATTGCCTTCTCATTCAAAACAAATCCAAGACATTTCTGAACCATCAACTAGTAGCAGAACTTTAAAAAATAAATTAAAATCTTCAAAATTTAATAAAAGTAAAAGCACTCATGGCATTTCTAAAACATTTACTAAACAATTAAAAGATAGTGATACTGATGGAATAGCATCTTCGTGTAAAAGTAATAAATATGAACGTAAACACAACTCATCCAAAAATAAAAGTATCAATGATAATTATAAAAATTTATTAACATCTACCTCAAATAGAAGTGAAACTACAAAATTCCGAAGAATTCAGCCACGAAGAGGAAACATTGTGAAATATCCAGTTGAAGATAGTGATAGTGAGATTGAGTTTGTTGATGCAAAATGTGATGTGTCTGATGTTTCAGATGCTAAAAGAATATCTAAAGTAAATTCAAGGAAGAAAGCACAGAATGAATGGAGTGTATCAGAATGTTATTTAGACGATAGCTGTAGTGATATGAGCATCATAAGTGAAATGCATTATTCTCCATCTAATCAGAATTGGAGAAATAATGGTAAGTAATTTAATAATATTTTACAATTTTATCTAATACTAGCAGACCCTGCCACGCGTTGTTGTGGCTCAAAATGTATTATATTATAAATGTATAACACTTACTCTGTGGGGGGGATTTTTAGAAAAATCCCTTCTTAGTGTACAGTTTCTTGACGTATCCTATTAAAATAGTCAAAAACGCAAAAAAACCGCATCTAAAATAGTATAAATAGAAGCAGATTTCTTCACAGTAAGCCTTAATCCATCTCCCCCCAGTGGAGGGAATTTTGACATGTATATTATATAAAAACACGTGTGTATTCGAATGCAACATTGTGTCAAAATTTCAAAGGAATCAGTAGGAACAAACGAACATTACTTTAATTTATATAGATAGATAGATGATCTACTTTAGTTCATCCTCACAGAAAAGCAAACTTAGGTCGTCATACTCACGAAGTTAGTACCATCTGTTGGACATAAAAGCCTTAATCCTGGATGATATCTTTTAATTTATATGAATGTTTAACGGAATAATATACAGGCTATGTCCACCATGAAGTTTCATTCTAAATATTGGTGAAAGAATTTTTGAAATTGGATGAGTAGTTTCAGAGATTACCTCCTACATCCAAACTTACAAACTTTACCTCTTTATAATGTTAGTATAGATTAGTAGTGTGGTATTTTGACTTACGTGTTTTTCGAGATATGAGCAGTCTCTTGGCTGATTTTTTTGCTTTGCTTTGAGTTCAGAGCTAAAATTCAGGTTACAAGCCAGCTTCAGTTAGTTACCACTGCTAGTTGGCTCAGCGAACCATAGATTAAGAAAAAGAAGATGGAAAACTGCTGTAATTTTTTCATTTTTGTTACTCTTCCAATGACTGACAGGCTAGCTTATAGAAAAACACATGATTGAGTGATGTAGGCATTAGTTCATTTCTTTGTTATGTGCAGTGGCGCCACCTCTCTTTTCTTGAATTTTCCCTCTTTTCTTTATCTATGCAGCATATGCTGCAACATCCACAAAACCAGTTTATTGCAGTTCATTCTATTGTATTTTTATACACTATTTGTTATTTATAAGTACATTTTTATTATTTAGAAACATGTAACAAAAAAATTGCAGTGTTTTTTTGGGTCTGGAGCAAATTAATGGCATTTCAATTCATTTCAATGGAGGAAATTGATTTGGCACACGAGTAATTTGAGTTATGAGTTTCGTTACAGAATGAATTAAACTCGTAAATCAAGGTATCACTGTATTTTAATTGTTGCTATACTATTTCCGTAAATATCATAAATAATAATAATTTATGATAAGAATTTGGATATCAAATTATTCTCTATCGTAACTAATTGATAATGATAGACACCATTTTTATAATGAAACAATAAAAAAATGTTACATATATATATATATATATTTCGTAGAAACTATAAGGACCTTGAATAAGTTCTCGCTGTTTTCCAACAGATGGCGTTACCAGAACCACGTGTGTTTATTTTTAGATGGTGACGCATCTGTAAGGAAGTACAATAAGTGACCTTGAAATTCAGTATAGTCATTTCACCGAAGTGTAAACAACTTATTTTTTAATTGTGTTAAACATGTCTAGTTTTGTGCCAAAAAAAGAGTATTTGCGGGGAATTTTATTGCACTATTTTATTCAAAAAAAATCTGCAGCAGAAGCACACAGAATTCTTGTTGAGACTTACGGCGACCATGCTCTGTCGGAAACAACATGCAGAGATTGGTTTAGACGCTTCAAAAATAATGATTTTGATGTTGAAGATAAAGAACGATCTGGTGCACCAAAAAAGTTTGAAGACAAGGAATTAGAGGCATTACTTCATGAAGACTCATGTCAGACGCTAGCTGAACTTGCAGAATCATTAGGAGTTGATCACACAACAGTTTCGAAACGTTTAAAAGGATTAGGAATGATTCAAAAGCAAGGACATTGGGTGCCGTACGAGTTGAAGCCGAGAGATGTCGAACGGCGTCTTTTCACATGTGAACAGCTGCTTCAACGGCAGAAAAGGAAAGGTTTTCTGCATCGTATCGTGACGGGTGACGAAAAATGGATACACTACGATAACCCTAAGCGTAGAAAATCGTGGGGTAAGCCCGGTCATGCATCAACATCGTCAGCAAGGCCGAATATCCATGGTTCGAAGCTTCTGCTCTGCATTTGGTGGGATCAGCTAGGTGTAGTTTATTACGAGCTGCTCAAACCAAACGAAACTATCACGGGAGATCGCTATCGACTACAATTGATGCGTTTGAGCCAAGCATTGAAGGAAAAACGGCCGCTATATGAGCAGAGACACGACAAAGTGATTTTGCAACATGACAATGCTCGGCCACATGTTGCACAACCGGTGAAAACGTACTTGGAAACGCTTAAATGGGAAGTCCTACCCCACCCGCCATATTCACCAGACATCGCCCCTTCCGATTATCACTTGTTCCGATCGATGTCACATGGCCTGGCTGAGCAGCACTTTCGTTCTTATGAAGATGCCAAAAAATGGGTTGATTCTTGGATAGCTTCAAAAAACGTGTCGTTTTTCCGACATGGAATTCAAATGCTGCCAGAACGATGGGAGAAAGTAGTGTCTAGTGATGGACAATACTTTCAGTGACGTGTTTATTACGACTTTTTTTTAAATAAAGTGAGAATTTATTCAAGAGTCTTATTCAAGCGAGAACTTATTCAAGGTCCTTATATATACAGTGAAACCCCAGTTAACAAATGTCCTGGTTAACGACCAAATCGGTTAACGAACTTTTATTTTGCAAAAATTTTGTCTCAGATAACGAACTTGTCGGCTTTTTGTGTCAAATTTGTAAGCTTGTTTTGACGAAACTTTCTGAACCACTTACGGCACGTGGAATCATCCATGGCTCCCTCACCATACACAGAACATATCTTTTTTTGTGTCTGCGAAGCATTCTTGCCTTTTCGGAAATAAAAAAGAATAATATGTCGAAAATGCTCCTTATTTTCTGCCATTTGTAATGCTTAACAAAATTTTAAAAACACAACTAAGTAACACAACTTTATTTTCAAATACTAGCTGAGATCCCTTTTGTCAAACAACATTGAAATTTTACACATATGAAGGAAATAACACTTCAGTGTTGCATTTTTAGTCAGCTGGTGCTAAAAATGGGAGAAACTTTTGCATCAACCCAATAGTATTCAGCCGTTCTGGAACCTCACAAATTTCAGTTGCTCTTAGGCGTGCACGAGGTAAGCATTGCTTTTTCGAGTGTGCTAAACTTTGTTTTTTAGTTTTGTTATTTATATTGTATATTTAATCAATATGGCACCGAAGAAAGAGAAAAGTGACAGTGGAAATAGAAAACGTTTTAGTGTAGCATTAAAGAAAGAAATTATTGCAAAATACAAGAATGGCATTTGTGTTTCTGACATCGCTAAAGAATATAATGTGGCAAAATTGACTATCTCTACAATTATTAAAAACAAAAAAGCATTTAAAGCTGCCGAAGTGGCTAAAGGAGTGAATGCGATATCGAAACAAAGATCTAAGGTTTTAGATGAAGTTGAAAAACTGTTGCTAATATGGATCAATGAAAAGCAACTTGCTGGAGACGGTGTTAGTGAAGCTATAATTTGTGAAAAGGCTAAAAATTTATACAATGACTAGTTGACCCAGACATCCAGTACAAGTGCAGACAGGCAAGACTTTAAAGGTAAAATAGGTTTCGTTGATGAACTGGCATTCACAGTGTCATAAGACGGGGAGGCTTCAAGTTCAGATGAAAAAACAGCAAAAGCATTTGTAGATGAATTCGCAGTTTGTAAAAAGTGAAGGATACATCTGGAATCAAGTGTTTAATTGCGATGAGACCGGTCTTTTATGGAAAAGAATGCCTACACCCAAGAAGAGGAAGAGGCTAGGGAAGAAATCACCAGTGCTGAGATCAAGGAAATTTGCAGAAAATGAATGATGTGCAGGAATTTATCGAGAAGCACCATCCTAACAAAGTTGTGGCTAATAGGGTCATTAATTTAATGAACGACACTGTGCAAGCGCATTTTTAAAAAAATTTGATTAAGAGAGTAAGACAATCAACTTTAGACCACTTACTTGTTCCTTATCAAGAGAGACCTCGACTCGAAGAAACTCCCGATGCAGTGCTACCCGATATTTTTATGGAGGGGGATTCCTCTTTCAAGCATTAAGCTCTGTAGAAACAAAGGTATGTACAATGCTACTTTATTAAATAAAGTTTACATATTTGTTGCTGTAATGATAGATACTACGTTTTCTTATATTTTCATCAAAGAAAACCCATTTTACAAATAAAATTACAAAAATACTGACAGCTAGAACGGATTAATTGTATTTGCATTAATTTCTATGGGAAAAACTGCTTCGGTTAACGAACGGACTCGTGGAACAGATTACGTTTGTTAACCGGGGTTCCACTGTATATCTTATATAATATTATCAATAAATTCCCATCCATGAATATCAAAATTATTATTGTTTTCTTTGAGAACACTTCATAGAAAGAAGAAAAATCAAATTTTATCAATAAGAGGCAGTTATTTATTTTATTTGCATAAAACCAATTTTATTGTATGTAATAAAAATTGCACATAGTATATTTGCACATTATGTATACAGTTTACAGGGGTCACTCAGGAAAATTTTAAAAAATTGTCAACCATTTTGCCAGTTTTAAATTATTTATTACCACCAGTTTTACTTACTTATTATTTATTATTATGCAGATGCAGGCTTATCAGTTTGGAGTTTGGAAAGCAAAAGCTAAGCTGCCACTAAGAAATAGGCATCATTTTTTAATGAATAATTTCAAATAATGAATGCATTTGATCACAATGCTTAAACAATATTTCACGAGATCTGTCATATCAAAATGTTTTTCTTTAACTGAAGCATGCTTATAGTTGAATTTCACTTTGAAAGTTGAAATAAGTGGACTAAGGTTTTTATTGTCAATATTATATTTTAGCATTATGCAGTGCAACCAGAGTATATAATAAATGGTATACCAAAGTTTTATACTGTGCTAATATTCTATGTGCAGTTATTAAGTTAAGTTTAATAATTATAGATTCTCCTGATCCTGTGGAACAAGTAAGGCAAATGGAAGAAGATGAAAAATTGGCTTTCAGATTGCAGGTAATTAATATACAGAGTTTTGTTTATATCTCAAAAATTACATATAAATGATTTTCACTTAACCAAGATTCAAAAATAACACTTTTTAATAAACTGATTTGTAATTGAGATAATGTTTGGTAATATTTAATAGATGAGATATGTTCCTGAAAACCTTGGATAATTGAAAATTTTCAACATTCACTGTTTTAAATTATAAGAGTGAACGTTAAAATAAGAATAGTCAGCAAAATATCTCATAAGATTTTTGATGCATATAAATAACAGTATTGTACTCGTGATACTGATATTGATGGTAGATATTTGTTTATCAAATAAAATGGCACTTCATATGATAAAAGCTTAAATCTACTCAGCTTGCCAGTTTGAAATACTTGCCTAATTTGAACTAATATGAACTTTTTAGGATTTGCATTGTTTCAAATTTTACATATGGCTTGACTGTTCAGCTTCAAATATGATTGCACTGTATTTAAAATTTTTATTCTTTGGTTGTTTTCCCCTTCTGATTTTTGATGCCAAGGACTTGTGATTATGATACTTATTTTATTCATATATAGTCAGTTTTTAATAACTTTATATGTTCCAGATAGTCAAGGAAATGCAAAAATTTGCTTTGGAGTTTGAACAATGCTTCAAAGTTCAAACTGTGCATGCAATGAAAAAATGTGCCCAAAGCATAAAAGCAATTTGTTGTGCACCTCATCTCTCACTCTCTCTTGCATTACTCTTGTATGTTTTCAGTGTTTTTTTGGTATGCTTGTTTATTAGTATATTTTTAACAATTTCTTTCTGCAATTTTTCTTGATTTGACAGCTTTTAGGAATTCTGTACATTTTGCATTCTTCAGTTAAAATTTCCTGACTGAAATTTTTGAAATCATATTTGATGTGATTAGACATTTGGAGTTTAGGAGCATTACCCCATATACATTATGAATTTTTTTACTGTTTTATGGTTATATCCTTTCTTTCTGAAACTCATAATGTATTTTATTCCTGATATGCTTTTTATCTAAAAACATTTCAACTTGATTTTATTCAAACAAAATGTGAAGTAAAAAGTTTAAAATTAGCTCCTAAACAAATAATACAATCTTACATTAGCAATAATGTAAGATTGTATTCTGTTATAATTAAATCACACATTTATGTTATGTAAAGACAGCTGTTAAAAATATGCAAAACCTTTATGTTTAACCTAATAAAGTAAGGAAGTATAAGAGGAAAATTGTAATATGAATGAGTGAGATGAAAAGTGAAGATTATCATAACATGCTTTTATGTTGCCGAGATAATTTTATTGAAAAGTAACATTTTCAGCCTATTCCATAGGCCATCCTCAGGATAATTTTATTGAAACATTAGTTTCCAATAAAATTATCTTGGCAACATAAAAGATGTGTTATGGTGATCTAATTATTTGCTGAGCATGTTCTGTTAAATGAAAAATGAAGTTAGTGCAAAGCATGAAAGCAGTATGCATGTGACAGATCTGGTGGCTGTGTTTAATATGCTTCCTCTTTTAGTTTGTTGTATTAGATTCTGATCTTAGTTTTATTATTATTATTATTATTTTTTTTTTCTCATTGTTTTTCTTTTGACTGTTTTCAAGATAAAATGATGTTATATAAGCAATAATAGATAGTCATAAATAACTTGCAACCAATAGAAAGGCAGTGAAAAAATTAGTGAAAATACCAAAAAAAATGATATGCAAAGAAAAACATCTGAGATGTGAGAAAGTATTGTGCAAAGTAAAAATTATGGCACTTGAAATGAAAGTGAAACTTTTTCTTTGTAGTTAAGCTTGAAATTTATGGATATTATTCACAATATTTAGTATTTATATTATTAAAATTCTGTAATTCATATATAGAATGCATTAACTTGACCAAGCTTTTATTTGATTTGTATTGATCCTTGATAAGAATTTTTCTCTTAAAAAATTTGTTAACAGCAATCCTTTTTAAATAGCAGAATTTTTAATCTAGGATCATTTATGTTCCAAATTCAAACACTAATAATGGAAACAAATTTTTTTTTGAAGTGCAATAATCTAACTTTGTTATATGTACTTTATAGTTACATATATGTTTATCAGTTATATTGTAGAAAGAAAATAATGGGACAGAAGTCATTAATAGAACAATTTTAAAATATAGAAATGAGTATTTCTTGCTTTTCACAAAATAATTGATTATAGTTGTTACATTTATTTTTTTCCCTCCTATCATATTATAGTTTCTAAAAAAAATTATATCATGCTTAATTGATTGATGAAATTGGCAAATGATGTTTCTTCCTTTTTAATATGCTTATTGAATTTAACATGATAAAGTTGTTGATATATTATTATTTTAATTTTTAAAGATCTGTTAATACTTTACCTAGGTATTTCAAAAAATTATTTTTGATTTTTTTTTCAATTAATACTATTATTTGTGTAATAAGTTTACAATATATAAAACAGGGTTGGAAACATATAGCTTACACAAAGTGGCACATTGGAAGAATTTGTTTAGCATGTGTTTGCCACTCAACTTCATTTTTTTTTACTATACAGTATTCAGAATAATAATTATTTTAACTCTCCAATATGAAGTACTTCAAAATCAGTTCAACAAAGTTATTCTGGTCAAGTAGATGTTATATAAATGACATTAAAATTACATAATTTCAGTTTTCGTCTGGTTTTATGTTTGGTTTATCTCTCTAAATCTATTCTAGCATAATTAAACTATAATCATTTAATTTTTTTTTCACTTTTTTCTATGCTGAAAACTTTGGATGTATATATTTTTAAAGTTAAATGTGCCTACTTTGACATTCAGATTCTAAAAAGTTTACTGTGATATAGAGCGAATGTCAAAGTCCATATAATAATATACAAGTATACTCATGATATTATAAGAGATCTTTTGTAAATATTTATAAAGTTGAATATATATTCAACTTATAAACTTATATATATATGTACACAATAGAAATGATTTTTAATTTTTACAATAATTCCACTATAACTTTGTACATACTTCAGAAGCTTAACTAATAAATCAAATAAATAAAACTGAGTTTACACAGATTGTAATACTCCGTCATATGATTTTTTTTTATTCCATTTGAACTCATTTTTTTTTAATCTTTGTAATTAACAAAATATCATAATTAAATTACACATCTCTAGTGACAAAAAACTTTTTGTCACTGGAACTTTCTCCATATCAAAAGTAACAGTAATCAGTCATTTTTGGTCAAGGTATCAGGGTTAGACCCTATTTTCATCTAAGCTAAGCTTAAAACATTCTGAGATGTTTGTTGGAGGACTGATGGATATATAAACAACATTATATTCACAAGTAGAAATGAATGGGCCTGTCCACATCTTTGTCTTATGTCCTTCTGTCATAAAAACAATAATAAGGCATCACATTTTATCATGTCAAGAAGAAATACGAGAAAAAGTAAAATGATTTTAGAGAGAGACTTTTTTGATGTGAAAAAATTACACAGTGATCTATAATCCATTGTAAAGATTTTTAACACACAATCTGTGGATTATAGACAGACAATTATATTTAATGCAGATTCTTTATTATTTATTGATGAATAATAAGTAGAAAGATAACAGAATAGTTTTATACGTATATCTCTCAAATTATGACTGGGTTCCATTCCACTGCTTTGGTTATGTATATTAAAGATATAAAATACATAACTGTGAGGCTCACCTACTTTTCAATATATTGTACACAACTGTGAGTGATATAATTTAGAAAAGTAGATTTCTGTATTTAATCAAAGGATAATTAATGTTGCAAATACATAGACCACAAATAAATTATTCAAAAAAATGACAGACAATTGCTCTCAAACACTGTTCACAGTGCCAAACTAATGCAAAATAATTATATTACAGACTGATATTTTTTTGCAGACATGATAAATCTTGATTTTTGATTTTTCAGCATATAGGCTACTTTGTTATCTAAGTGTAGATATAAATTGAGGGACAATCATATAACGATTCAATTTGAAGCTGCAGATAAATGAAGCTTATTCTGACTTTTAATTAAAATCTTTTGATGATGATAAAACAGTGGTTCTTAACTGATGTACCTCAGAACACTAGTATTCCATGAACTTGTTACATGTGTTCTGCTAAATTATGAAAGCAGTGAACTAGCTAAAACTATGTTTGGACAGACTTTAATGTAAATTCACAGTTTACAATGCAGACAAGACACAACTTGCATTTTGCAGTGACCTTCAATCACTTGCAAAGACAAGGAACTCAAATTTTACATCTAAGCAATGTTTTTTGCATAGAGAATTCTTAGTTTCAAAAACATTGCTGGCAATGTTTAAACCTATACTAGACCAAGTTTATAAATATTAGCTTACATCAAGTCAAGATTATTTAAGATGCTTTTATAAAAATTTGAATATCTATGGAAGCCAAGTATAAATCTTTGCCATTGCAAGCTGAAGTAAGATTGTTATTCAGGGCCAAGTGCTTTGTCCATTTTAGAACTTAAAAATGAATTGTTGGTCTTTTTCTAAAATGAATGTACAAATGCTTTTATAAAATGGCATACTTAGCTGATATTTTTAATTACTTGAATAGCTTAATACAAATATCCAAAAAAACACGAAAATATTTTGGCATCCACTGACAAACATCAGCATTTCAGAAAAAGTATTTCTCTGAAAAATTGCATATCAGAAAAAAATATAAACTTTGTAATAAAAATCCTGAAAGAATTATTTCCATTATAACAGGACATTTAACACTGGAAGAAAAGATTGCAAGCTACTTTCTTTTCTAAATATAGAAATTATAACTGGATACTAAATCAATTCAGTGCAGTTAATACATCAAGTTGTGAATTTCCAATACAACAACAACTTGTCAATGGATGGTACATTAAGAAATGAAATCCTTTAAAATAACTCTTGAGGAATTTTCGATTTTTGTTCAATTCAAATAACTAGCTTTTAGTAAAAGGCACTAAAAATTTTGCTACATTTTTCAACATGAGATCCAAGCTCACACAAATATTATGTTCGTAAATATAAAAACCAAAAAGACTTACCAACATAGACAAAGAAGTGAGGGTAGCTGTATCAGGATCATATATTGCAATATATTAACCTGATATATATATATAAGAAGCTCATATATTGCATTATAATTGACTTAAAACTTTTATAAAAATGATATTTCTTTATTATTTTAGTTAGTTTTTACAAATATAATTTTTTTACCATTATGTATTCTGTAATCTATAATTTTTATTTTAATTTTAATGATATGATTTTAATGATATTTTAATTTTTAATTAAAAAAAAAGTATGTTCATGCATATTTTTGTTGCTATTCTATGATCTTAGAGATTTTTCTGTTCCTCAAATTTTTCTGATATTTAAGTGTTCTGTGACTTCAAAAAGGTTAAGAACCACTGTGTTAAAAGGCAAATGTACAGTACAGTACATTTGCCTTTTAACACAGTGGCAGTAAAATTAAGACATTAGTTAAATCTCTTCTCAATATTCAATCACCCATCTTAATTATCAAGGTCAAAAAAGTTGATTAGTAATAGCAATCATTCACACTCAATGTTGCCTTAATTTTGCCATCTGTGGCCTTTATAATTACTGAAAAAGTTTTTTAGCATAAAACATATTGGTTTTTCAAGAAAATAAAGTATAAAACAATAGATATTTTAAAATTATTTTTATGAAGGAATAGCATTATTATGTATTGCAAATGAATGAAATTTAATTGGATTGGTTGATAAATATGATTTCTCTATTTTATAAAATTAGTTTATATACAGATTAGAATAATACAACCACTTTTTTAAATTTTCTATTTATTTAGATATGTTTAAAATGTTTGTATATTTTCTAGGCTCAATATGATGCAGAAGCAAACCTTAATAGTATGACTGAAAGTGAAGACTTTGATTTTGAATCATCATTTTTTTCTGGTCTTCACATGGATAATTTTTCAAATTCTAGTGACACGTCATCATCATCTACAACCGAAGGTGGTTTTCCTTTTGTTTTGCCCTTTTCTCCAAATTTGCATAGAGTTTCAAATAATTCATTTGTTTATGGTGTAGAGAGACCAAATGATAGAAGAAGAGTAAGTGAATAATAAATAAATTGTGTACAATTTTAAATATGAAGTACTTTACTAAATTTTAATTTGTTAATAGTCTCCTCGATTACAACAGTCATTCATAGAATGGATACCAGGTCGCATTCGCAATGTTTTATCATCTTTAATGCCAAATTTTGCAGATGATGACTATGAGGTAATTATTTAATATTGTCAAAATCTTTGAAAAAAAAATTTATTGGATTATAAATTATTAGTTTTAATTCAGTTTCTTTGCTGAAATTAAATTAAACTGCACAATCAATATTTATAATAAATCAAACTATAAAATAATGACCATACATACAGTAGAGTCCCACTAGTCCAAACACTGCTAATCCGAATGTCTGCCTAATCCGAAAATGTTTCATTCAGTGGAGAGAAAATTTTCTCTAACAAGAGGTCCACATAGGTTGTTCCCCTTTCTCTTTCCTGATTGAACCACGTGAATACGGCTTCATCAAACTTGTTAAATGTTGAGGGTCTTGCTGTTTGTCAATTTTTAACTGATTTTTCTGAAGTAGAGGCACAAAACTGCTCAATCTTTGTGTGGTTTTTTCCAGTTGGTTATTGTGTCCTTGCCCACTCCAAACTCTAATGCCAATTTTGTTGCATTTTCATCCTTGTCCAGCTTTTTCAAAATTTCGTGGGCATTATACCAGCAGATTAAACTGAACTAAAATAACGAAGAGTGAAGAGTACACTCAACATTCACAATTAAGTGTGCTAACTCACACAGCAGCATCAGTCAATTGATTGGAATCCTGGACTGTGTATTAAAAATGTTTTTTTACAGTTAAAATAATTTTAAGGTAAACAATGAAGGCAGGTTGCCATTTCAAAATTACAAAACTTGTTTTTGTTAACTGTTTGGCTGTCTATTGAGTACAAGTCAGATGAAATAAAGGATAGTGTGCTGACATCATTGATGGTGTTGGATCTATATAAATCAGACCGGTTTTGCTGCTTGCTTCTGCATTATTTCAATTATTCAGCTAATCTGAATAATTTACCTAACCGAATAGGGCTTGGTCCCAATTAGTTCAGACTAGCAGGACTCTTCTGTATATAGATTTTAACATTTCAATCAATTCTCTTAATTTTACATGTTTAAAAATATAATTGATTATTTCAATAATGATTTTGTTAAGTAGACAATATTTTTATTACTTTATTTAATAATATATAAATCATGTAATAAATTAGTTTTTGATAGCTTTACTATGGAGAATTTGTTTTAATTATAGACTTAGATGATGATGATATTAATTATTATTAGCTTTAAGCAAATTTAAAATAAATGCTAAAGCAATGCTGAAACTGTGAACTATTTTCAGTCTTGAACATTCTCCTTTTTAAGAATAAAATTTTCACTTGATATCCTCATATTCCAAGGCTTGGAGCCACTCACTTTTCTCACCTTTCAGGTCATTTTCTCACTTTTTTGGTCATTTCCATGTGCTCAATTAAGATGTGGGACCAATCAAAAATAATTTTAAAACCAAACAATCTGCCAAATTATTAGACTAGAATTTTCTGGAAGAAAATACTGGGCCCTGAGCGGGACTCAAAACCGCAACTTCCGCTTAGTGTTGTTACGTGAAAGCAATTTTTGTTTTCTATAACCTATGTAAAAAGTCTTTCATGCACTTAAAAAATCCCTCTCATTACAAATTCAGAAGCCAATATTGAGTAAAGTTATGTACTCATGCCATATTGTCGTTATTAGCCAAAATCTAGTTCTTCAGAGTTGCATTTCTATGGAAATTAAAAATAAATATTTTAAGCATCCCTACGTTTTTGGCTGTTTTCTAATAAAATCCCTTTGTAGGGCCTAATCCCCTATGCCAGGGGATTAATCTCAAGCTAACAACACTGCTGCCGCTTCTAAATTTAAAATACAGTAGAGCGTCGATTATCCAAATCGATTGGGGACTGGGGTTGTTTGGAATATCGATGTTTCGGATAACCGATCATGTACAAAAAATATATTAATTTATCCCATCTTGACATTTTTCTCCATTGCATGTCGCTTCGCGTTGAATTTTCGTCGATGTTAAGCCTAACGAAGACTATTGTATCGTTAAAAATTATTTTTTTATTTTGTACGAACAAAATAAATATATTGAAAAATATAAAAACAATAAAAAATTATACTTTAGAAGTTAATTTAGTATCAAAAACGTAAAATATTTGAGTAGCCCAAGACATAGCCAAAGATTGCAGCACCACAGCACTGGCGAAAATTTAAATTTGCCGACTGGAATTCTTTTGGATGATTGACTTTCGGATAATCGACACTCTATTGTATATTGTAATTATTAAAATTAACATGAGATAGTGGTGTAATCTCCTATCTCTAGATAAATTATTTCGTTTCTGACCATTTAATTATTTGTGTTATAGTCCAATAATTTGGCAGATCATTTGGTTTTAATTAACATCATCATTTGGGTTATGGAGTTGTCGTTTACAAGAATATTTTTTACTTTATTTATTTTTAAATAATTTCATAAACTTGAATTAAATAGAATAAAGTTATTTTAATGATTTCATAGCATATTGTTAACGTTTAATCACACCTATATACAGTGGGTGATTGGTTAACGAACATAATTTGTTCCAAGACTTTGTTCGCTATCCGAATTGTTTGTTAACCGATTATCAATTTACCATTGGTTTTTATGGGAATTTGATTAATTCGTTCTGGAGACACCAACAAATAAAAAATATATACTTTTTTACTACGTTTATTCATATGTAATAATAAAAATACATACAGTAGACCCCTATAACGTGTAGATAAGTTCCACGTTATACAAATTTCACGTTGTAGGAATCCTTAAATACATGAGCCAATCACAGTCTGACACGTGTGAAGTTTACTGACTACAGCTGTTTGAAAGGTTTTCTTCCATAAAATTAATCAATTCTAGACTAATTCGACTCAACATTTCCAAAACACGTATAATTTTTTGGGAATAATCCGTATAAACTATACTATAGACAAAAAATTGTAGGATTACTTACCAAGTGTGCACCGTTCGACGTCGCCATTGCTTAAGCTTGTTTTCGTCGCGGAGCAGCGCACCAAACGGCGGCTGCGATTTCTGATGTTATTTTTCTGCAAAAAATTCATTGAACTTTGGAGACATCATTAATATAAATAATTTTAATGGCCGTTGAATAAGAAATGTTTCTTTCACAAGAAATGTATAAAATTACAGTACTGTATTAGACTTACAGTACTAATTTACATACTGTACAGACGATAGTAAACTCTCCGTAGCGTGGCGCTAGAAGGCGGAAAGTAGTTCGGCTGCTCGTCCACTATTGGTCTAGATTCGACCAATCCTGTTGCGACACGAGTCGGCAACAACGTTTTAAGAGTCCTTTTAGCGTCTTTATATGAATGCTGTTGCAATTTTTCACCACGTTATAGGAATCTCCGTTATAGGGGGTTCTACTGTATATACACGGTCTTGCATTTTTATTAGTCCTGTTTTTTCCGTTTGTGAGGGTTAAAGAATCTGTCTAATGTCCATTGCTTTTCTCACTTTAAGATTTTTCAGAAGTAATTACAGGCATACCTCGACTTACGTCGTTTCGAGTTACGTCGTTCCCGATTATACGTCGTTTGTCAAAAAAGTATATGGAAAAATAAAAATCAAATTTAAGTCATTTTATTCGACTTTACGTCTGTCCGCCACAAATATTGAAGTCGTAATATCCCTAGAAAAACGTTTAAAGCACATAAAATCATATTAAAATATATACAAGTATGTTCTGTATTTACAGTACATGCATTCGTAAATTTAGATTACTTTTTTCTGTACTATATTAAAAACTAAAATTTATTTGTTTGTAAGCTTAAAATAGATTTTTATTAACCATATATTATTAAAAATGCATTAATAAATAAAATACAGAACCGGGAATGGTAATTTATGGTTTAGCCTAGTGACAAGTAGATTCGGAGACAAGTAAATTCGACTTACGTCGTTTTCCTGAAACCAATTACCGACGTAAGGCGAGGTATACCTGTAATAACATTGTAATTGTAGAGATCCCTAAGGGCTGTTTCACACTATGACCGACTGGACCGACCCGACCAATTTTATAATCGGACCGACTAGTAGTAAAAGCATTCACACTAAGTACGATTATATGTCGGTGGCCGACTCATAAGGACCAATCAGAACGCGTGTTATAGATCAATACACTAGCCAATCATGGTAAGTTTTTTAAATAAAACAGAAAACATGGCTGTCATGGAAAGTGATCATGCACTTAGATATATTGCGTTATTATTAGATTAGTCAATCACGTACCTACAACGTTTAGTTTCTTGGAAATCTCCGTCCAAGAATTATTTTTTTTATGTTGTCTTTATAATCGGCTCGCTGAATATCATAAAGCCACGGATATGTTCTGACTTCGTTTATTAAAGCTTACTTTAATCTATACTTTCCGCCATTTTCTAACTTCGGCGTAGATTGGATAAATCTAAACTGTGATTGGTTATAGCTTCGAAGCTCTCATTGGCTGTAGCTCACCGACTGCTCCGATTCGACTACAAATATTTAACTTTTCAAATCTGTCCGACTGGAACGACTAGTCGGTCAGCAGACTGCTGTTGCCATGGCAACACGACTTGGAGTTGGTCCAGTCGGTTATAGTGTGAAATAGCCCTAAGACTTTTAACCTCAACCTGGTTTGAATGCCATTCTAAGACTGTCATTCTGGCATCATCCCACTTCTTGAAAAAAATGTTTAATAGCAGATATCAACATTAATTCTCTTTTTCAGAAGAAAACATATCTGAGTTCCTTGGTATTTTTCATTCAGGAGTTCTTGGCGTTCGTCTGTCATCAGATCAGTTTCGGGTTCCATTATGAGCTCTTCAATGTTCTTTATTTATAAGATGTGATTTTTGTTACTCCTTAAGCTGATTGAGTCTCCTTGATAATACAATATCTTTCTTAGATAAGATTGACTGCGGTTTACTTTACACCTGTTCAAGCTATACTACCCAGCAACATCAGATATCATCTGCCCACACTCTACCTTTGTTGTTATACTCTCACCTTTCGAAAATCAAAACTGACACAAAAACTTAACGAGTGCCCATCTGACAGTCTTGCGAATACTATAAAAAAATTGTTTCTGTCAGAAAAATAAAAGGCTGAAATTACAAGGGAGAGTTTCAAAGTTCGGAGGAATAAATACTACCCAATCAATTTAAACTGGGTTCCCTTGTATTCAGGCAACAATTCGAAACTTTTTGGAGACGTTGACGTCTCCAAAAAGTTTCGAATTGTTGCCTGAATACAAGGGAAGACCAATTGGTATTCATTATTTTACGTCGCATTGTTTCTTGTGTTTGTTCATTGTCCAAACATAAAAATTTTTAGCAAAAATGTTCGATAACCGATCACCCACTGTATTCCTAAATGTATGTGTAAATTGACTACAAGTATAATTATTCCATGTAGTAAGTATTATTTTCATAAAATGTGTGATTACTTTATTTGTGAAATATCCATTTTTTAATTTCTTCTCTTGTGTCGATTATAAGTATGCATTAATTGAGACTAAAAAAGTAAATGAAAATGTAAATTCATATTTACACATCAAATCTTTTAATTTATTTGGTAAATTTTAAGTGTTGTAAAAAGTAAAACACATGATTGCTGGTGGAAAAATTTTTCACACGCTTCCCAAAAGGTTAACAACGTTGTAACGATGTTGCTTTTTATTCATCTGCAGGAAAACGTTCCTTGTTATTTATGAAATCATTAATAAAACAACTATTTTATTTATACTACTTGAAATCTGTTTATTTCGGATTTATTAATTTATTTTGAAATCAATATATATGTCTCAAAGCATTAAAAAATAAATAGTTTCTGATCATGATAGATATCACAGTGTAGCCAAATTAGTGAAATCAGCATTGACCCGCTCTCATGGCAATGCTGATTTTCAATTTCATGCCGCGCACTTCCTCCTGATAAAGCGTCATTGTCGGAAAGAGTGCTGAAACCAGAAAAAAAGTAGAAGAAAATGAAATGCGTGCTACAAGCCAAGTTATGTTAAAAGCAGCAAACAAAAAACTGGAGGCCATTAACAGCAAGAACATGAATGAAGTACCAGCAGTACATGTAATGCTTGTTAGTTTAAAAATGTTCAATCAAAAGCAAGAGGAACCAAAAAAGAAGGAAACTGAAAACATCCAGAATAATCAGAATGAAAGAACATTATTTTTCATTACTGATTATTTACGGATGACAAAGACTTAAGTATTTATGGTTTACTGGAAATACAGTAGCTTCTTGTTATAATGCGCTTGTCCACAGACAAAGAAAAAGCGTGATATAACCGAGTACTAAAAATTCTGGTCTTATACTAAACAGATTATACATGCTATGCAATCTCTATCCTCTATTCTTTCATCAGCAAGTGTTTTTGATATAAAATAAACTTAGTTTTTCAATACTGAACTTTATTCTTGGTTATATCGTATTAATTGATGTTTACGTAAACATCGATACCACCGACGCCCATTTAGCATTGTTTCTTTAACAAAGACATTTAAAGACAAATACTGTCAATATAAAAACAAAATATCAATTATGATTTTATTATACAGTATTTAATAAGCGATTTATTTTCTCAATAAATCTCTTATTAAAAATTCGTATAATTTATGTTTTTCAGTAAAAATTATAAATGCTGTAATTGCTTTAAAATGCTTTTAAAAAATAAATATGAAACACATAATAGAACCATCAAAACTTATAAAATTACAGAATAAAAATTCTCTAAAAAGCAAAATAAAGTTACTGTACTACTGTATAGAACAGTGTTTCTCAACGGGGGCGATATCGTCCCCATGTGGGCGTTTTTCCATGTTGAGGGGGGCGATTAGTAACAATTTATATTTTGGGGGCCAAAAAACAATTTTCTGGACGATATAGTAAAACATTATATTAGGGGCAGTCAAATGAAAACGAGACAGACTATATAACAAGTGTGGCACGGAAGTTGGTAATGCAGGTAGGTGTGTATATAGAAGTGCCCTCTATTGGGAATCAGGAAGGAACAAAGTGAATGTTCACTGCTGTGCCATTTGTCTCTTAGATGTGCTCGAAGTTAGGTTTGGCGAGTCGTGTGTGCGTCCAACATCACTGTGGAGGTCCTCTGCTTGTTGACTTTCTGGAACACGGCGCCACAATTAACGCACAGCGGTACATAGAAACTTTGCAAAAATTGAAGCGTGCCATCAAATCCAAACACCCTGGAATGTTGACAGACAGTATCATTCTGTTTCAGGATAATGCCCACCCGCATTTTACCGAGGTTGTTTTGACTACGCTGCAGAAGTTTCGCTGGGAACTTCTGCAGTTCCCAGCGAAACTTCTGCACATCCTCCATACAGTTTTGATTTCTCCCCATGCGATTTCCATATTTTTGGAGCCCCGAAGAAACATTCGTGGCCGTTAATTTGCTTTGGACGAAAAGGTGCACGCCTAGGTACAATCATGGTTCCATAGGCAACCGCAAACATTTTTCTATGAAGGCATTGACCGTCTTGTTTCACAATGGGATAAATGTACAATATTAACAGTTATGGCAATTACTTTTGAAATAATAAACAGTTTATGTACTTTTTCCCCATCTGTCTCGTTTTCATTTGACTGCCCCTAATAGTAAGAATAATTAGTTATTTTATTCCTTATATCGTACAATAATTAAACGAATAACATGCATTGAATAGACTAGTGACTTGTATAAGTCACTAGTCTATTCAATGCAGTACGAATTTGGCGTTAGCCTTGGCCCTCGGCATCGGAATTTTGAAGTGAAGGGGGGCAATACTACGTAATGTATTATTACGTAGTAAAGGGGGGCGACGATTCGTTAGAGGTTGAGAAACACTGGTATAGAAACTCCGTTCAGAATTAAAGAAATCTTTTCCTTATGCATTATGCGGTGAATTTGAAATTTCACACCTTAATGTGAATTGACGCAATACCTTCTGTCCAAGTAAAAGTGTGAAATTTCGAATTCACAGAAACTTGTAAATGAGGAGATGGTACTTAAAACTAATAAATAAACAATTTTTAATATCAAAAGGAAAAAAATGACAATTGATATGTCTACCTGTTTTGCATATTTAGATCTTGATGAATTTATTGTTTCACCTTCAGTGGTAGTTTCAAGGACAATGGTAGAAATATGAATACTATATTTTGTTGCAAATAGAAATTCAATTCAAATTATAAAAAAAAACGCGATATATCCGAATACGCGATATAATGTGTGGCTACTTACAGTATATACAGAAATTTTTAAAATGTATTTAACCATAACAGAATAAAAAGAGACTTTTACTACTATTTTTTTGAGTTCCATGTTTTCACTGTGTTTTGTCACTAATACACTCACTGTTTCTGTATTTCAACTGGCTTTTCTCACTTTTTTGGAGGGAAAATCCCAGGCCTGTATTCTTTTTTCACATCCACAAACAGTACTTTGATCTTGATGTTTGGCGTCTGGATAGAGAACCATTGTGGAGAACAGTACTTTAAACTTCCCATATTAAAATAATTATTACAATGACGTTTCTAAATTCGGATGTCAAAAAAATTCATATTTAGCTATTGAAAATGTATATTAACCCCATTTCAATGGCAATTTCATTGTTGATGTTTTAACATTCAATTTGTAAATTTTTAATTTTGAATTATAATTAGTGTATATTTTGTTTAAATATAGTAATTTTGTAAATTACATCTTGAATCTTTGAAAGTATTCTTACATTCCTTGTGAAATATTGGCCTAAACTTAGAGCATCTGAATTTAATTTATATTACTTAAAATGCTAATTTATACATAGTTAAAAATCTGGAGGGTCTTGTTGCAATTAGTCCAGGTTTTCAATACTCTGCTGTATTTGTTCATATTAGAATTTTGATAGTGTTATTTTTTATTTAATAAAGCGATGATGGCTTTAAAAAAACGCTTGCTGTAGTTAATATTCATAAGATACATCAATATAAAAATTATGGCTTGTTTAGATGGAAATTTTAAAATGTAAGTTGATTCTTCATTGAATGAATTTTTCTCAAAAGTAAATACAGTAAAACTATATTATCTGAGATAATTGGATTGATCCTACTTCAGATAACTGAAAAAACAGGGGACTATGGTCATTTTGGATAAAAATTATAATTAAGTTAATAAGATTTATTTGTATCACTTGTAAGCCTTTATTTATTCGTTATATCTTGGTGACTAATCATAAAACAATATTTTTCACATTTATTATATAGCTAAAACATACAATAGTTTTAAGAATGAAAATGTTTACTATTGTAGTTACATTTTAATATGAATGGTTTATCTCATATTGAAGTTAAAATGATAAAAGGTAACGTGTATTACAATATTGTTTCTGTTATCATTTTTAAACTTCCTTTAAAAACTCTTAGAGTTAAGAAAAGTAGTTTATTCACTTAAAAGGTCACCTTGATTGATTAGAACTCTGATAATTGGGGTTCTACTATATTTATTTTATTTATTATGTAGATTAATTAGCATAACTTAATAATACTATATGTTACATTAATACTATTTATAAGAGTAGAAATCTACCTATAGAAGAATCTTNATTTGTATAACCTTTACTAAAAAATTAAAGAAATATTGTGTTTTTCTTATTTTGAATAATTTTTGTTGTCAGACTCTGTTACAGTTGACAGAAAATATCGGTGATGAATGCCAAGGATTAAAAAAACAACAAGTTAGCAGTCTTCCTACTAGAAAATATTTTTCAGCACAATCTTCTAAATCTACAGCATCTACTAGTGAAACATCTCAGGAATGTAGGGACTGTACTATTTGTCTATGTGAATATCAAAATAATGATCTTTTGCGTTTACTACCATGTTCTCATGAATTTCATGCCAATTGTATCGATAGGTGGTTAAAAGTAAGTGAAATTAATCAGTTTTATGTTACTGTATAATTTTGTTGTATGATTAATTAATAAATGTTATTTATTTCAGTCTCATCGAACATGTCCAATATGTAGAGTTGAAGTTACAGTAAAAAGACAATATGGAAAGAAAAGAAAAACTTAATTTAAAGAATTAAGCTAATCAAAATTATAAATTTTTATAATTGGAATTTTCAATGGTAGCATTTTTTTCTTGAAATTTTTTTTTGTTTTGTTTTTAAAAATTAAGATTTATATGCAAGAAATGACTCAGAAATGAAGATATAGGAAATACAGAGTGCATTTCATGAAATTTGTAAAAGAAATTGATAAGTGAAGAGGAAAATATAAAGTTTTGTTTTTCTCTGAAAAAAATGGATATATTGAGTGGTTTTTTACATGGTAATAGATTTTAAATACTTAATATTTTTGCACTAAAATTAAATTAACACACTCATTCTTGATATGCAAATTTACTAATGTGTTTAGTAAAATGAAAGTACAGTATTTTATTAAAGAAAAATTGAATGCATATTACAATACTTTAAAAGCAATATTTCTAGTAGATATATCATTTATATCAATTACTATTTTGAAATTATGAAAAGAAGTAACCTATGATATTGGTACATTAAGTTCCTTGTAAACACAGATGTTTTGCCATTTTTGCAAAGAAAGAAGTAATCTGATATTTTTTCACAATTAAAGTCAAATTATACATTACATTGAAAAATTGCTAGCTGAGTTCAGTGCAGTTTTAATGAAGTTACCCTTATTAATTCTATTAATGTCTTGTCTAAAACTATTAAGTTGCCAGCCTGAAATAAATATATAGAAGAAAGATACTAAACTTTTGGATGTTCACTGCACATTATAATCATTTGTTAAAATGAAAGTACTGTAATAACTTATTAACTCTGTATTTAAAATATATATATAACAAAGCATCAAATTATGCATATCACCATACAGCTACAACAANACTGCACATTATAATCATTTGTTAAAAGCAATGAAAGTACTGTAATAACTTATTAACTCTGTATTTAAAATATATATATAACAAAGCATCAAATTATGCATATCACCATACAGCTACAACAATGTGTACTACAAGTGCTAGTACAGTTGACCTCCAATTTTTTGTTTAGTAGTTATTCAAACTTTAATAAGCATAAAGTAATTTTAATGTATAAAGTAAAATGTAATAAATTCAACATTTTTAACCTCTTGCTTATTAATAATGTCATCAATGTGAAGCATACAACACAGTCATATGACAATGTAAAGGCTTTATAAATATAAACATTACCAATATATTTGAAGCTTTACATTTTTTATAGAAAATACAAATTAAGATGACTAATTTAAGATACAAATTATTATATTGAATACAATGCAAAAAGTTTCTTATAATAGAACACATGACAGTACTACTAGTTGTATGATTGATCAAAAATTAATAAAATCATTAATAATTTTGTTGAAATTGAAATATATTCAAATTTTTATACTTTTCTGCATATCTCAAATGAAATTTCATGACGATTTGCTTAACTCAATGGGAAGTGTATGAACTAAGTGGCTTTGTTTGCTTTTAAATATTGTATTTGCTGGTGTTTTTAAGTCAGCCATTTTTAGGAGCATTTTTGGGGAAAATTTTATTGAAAAAATTAAACATGGATCTTTATCCTCATCTTCAGATCTGGACAAATTATCTTCTGAAATCTCTTTTGTATTTGAATCATGGTCATTGTTTTGTTCAAATAATAAATCATAATTAGTATCATCAAGGGATTACAAATGCCACACAATTTAAACGTTATAAATAATAATATCTGGTTTTATTGCATTCTGATATTCATAAGATGCACTCCAGTTTTGAGAAATTCTTACAGGAAAAAAGAGTGTCTTAATACATATCTATATACCATATTATAAATATGAATAATAAATTACAAATATAAAAGTAGTAAAAACATTAAAAGTTTTAAAAGAATTGCAGTAATAATAATAAATTATTTGAGTATAGTGCTAACAGTAAATACCAAGACATAACACAAATAGGAAACATTAACAGTATATAATACAATAAACTGACATTCATTATTGACACTAATTTAGCAATCAAATATTGTGACAGATCCTAAGTATGAATATTTTGAGATTCTTAATTTATAACAAAACAATTATATTACTGTAATTCATTTTAAGTGATGAAAAAATCCGAACCAGACTATAAATTTTACATAGTTATTTCAGCCATTGCTGCGTTCTTTTACATTGGTCAGTGCCAAAAATAAAACATCAAAAATGAATTATTTTTAAAATGTTTAATTCATAGAATTCAATTAAGTATGGTATTTATACTGATATCCAGTTTGTAACTTTTTATTACTCAAGCAATAAAAAATTAAACACATTTAATGATGTAAATTACTTTTCATTTTAAAAAGTTCATAAAGTGGTTTTCTAAATATCTTATTGCAAAATGAGTTTTGAAACGTTTTAATTAATACAGGTCTACAAAATTTTTGGAGTTATGCTTGCTCATTCTTGTCATATGCAGTTTTACCACAAAATGATATACGGAATAATTTTAAATATTTTTTAGAGGATGATAATTAGGAAAGAAAATTCTAGCACATTTTATTCATCTATTAGACTCAAAGACCGGAAACCGTCATGGGCGGGGAAAATTCGATGCGTTGGATTTACAGAAATAGCCATAACACGAAATTTTGTCCTAGTTGCCTATAACGCCACTATGCAATTCTGGCCTGTTAAAAATGACCAGAACATGTAGATACAAAGCATTTTTATTACGCATACAGTTCTCTACTGCACATTATAATCATTTGTTAAAAGCAATGAAAGTACTGTAATAACTTATTAACCCTGTATTTAAAATAAATATTTAACAAAGCATCAAATTATGCATATCACCATGTAGCTGCAACAATGTGTACTACACGGGTTCCTAACCTATGGGTCGCGACGGGTTTTCTGTGGGGTCGCCAACTTATACAGTTAACTAAAAAAAAATGTTCACTATAATGCAATTTTTATTTTTAATGGTGTCTTGAAGTTTGAATAATTTGATATACAGTCTACCCCCGTATAACACGGGTTCCTATAGTTCGGATTCCTATATGACGGCAAAAAAATTGCAACGGTATCCGTACAAACATGCTAAAAAACATAATTCGGTAAAACGTCATCGGGCAGCCGAACTACTTTCCGCCGTCCAGCACCACGCTACGGAGAGTTTAGGCGGGTAAATTGAGTTTACTATCGTCTGTACAGTATTATATATAAATTAGGTACTGTATATATAATTATATATTAACTTAATTTATTATAACTTTATTATAATTATATATATACTTTCCTCCGTCCAGCGCCACGCTACGGAGAGTTTCGGCGAGTAAGTTGAGTTTACTAGCGTCTGTACAGTATGTAAATTAGGTACCGTAAGTCTAATACAGCACTAATTTTATACATTTCTTGTGAAAGAAACATTTCTTATTCAACGGCCATAAAAATTATTTATATTAATGATGTCTCCAAAGTTCAACGAATTTTTCGCAGAAAAATAACTTATCAGAAATCGCGGCCGCCGTTTGGTGCGCTGCTCCGCGACGAAAACAAGCTTAAGCAATGGCGACGTCGAACGGTGCACACTCGGTAAGTAATCCTACAATTTTTTGTTTATAGCATAGTTTATACGGATTATTACCAAAAAATATACGTATTTTGGAAATGTTGAGTCGTAGGAATCGATTAATTTTATGGAAGAAAACCTTTCAAACAGCCGTAGTCCGTAAACTTCACACATGTCGGGCTGTGATTGGCAAGGTCTCCTAAAACATCAATTTCATAAAAACAGAACGTATCTACCGTGTTATAGGAGGGTCGACTGTATTTTTTAAAAATTAAAATAAGTGTAATCTAGGTACGCTATTCCGTCACAGTTGGTTGAATCATGTGTTGAGAGTTTGAGAGGAATAAATTAAATGTTGAAAATGACATAAACAAAAATTGGCGTTAACAAAAACTTACCCGCGAATTTTAAGGCTGGTTAATAACATATAATTTCAACAGTCACATTAAATTATTAGACATAATTTAAAATAAAATTATACTAAAAAACTAATTTCGTTTTTTTTTATTACCTTATTAAAAATGTCTTTTTCAATAGTATCGGGGTCGCGGGTCACTTGGCTTTTATAAAAAGGGGTCGCCACCCGAAAAAGGTTGGGAACCGTTGGTGTACTACAAGTGCTGGTATAGTTGTGATCTCCAATTTCTTAATCAATAGTTACTCAAACTTTAATGGATATCCGCCAATATATTTGAAGCTTTACATTTTTTATTGAAAACTAGCTGCAAGGACCCGCTTCGCTGGGTTTTTATTTCTGGGCAAAAAGTAACGATAGTGAAGATTAAGATAATTACATTAGAGCCAATCTTACCCGTTTTCACAGAATGCAAGAATTAGGTCCCCCGTTTCCAGACTAATTAGAGAATTTTTACGTCCAGTCAAACGAACTACTGTATTTTCAATTTGATCAATTTTCTGGAACGTTTACAATCGTTCTATAATCGAACCAATTGGAATTTAAATTCGAATTCGAAAATTTTTAAAGTCGAAATAGAAAATCTTCCACTTTCAAGCCCAATCTCCCGCACCCTTATAGCTGTCGAGACGCAACCACCATAGTGCACGAAGGGAGACTTGGGGCTACTACCACATACAAACACCATGTGCGATGTGTACTTTTGGCTGAAAAGTGAAATATAGGGAAACACGTCCATTTATATATATAAGTTAAAATTTCCAAGTACTGTACTGATGGATTGTAATTTAAAGAAAAAATAACAGCCTCTAAGAAATGCGTCACACATTGTGTATTATTGTATAAGTAACAATTTGAGAACAGCGAATAGTAGAAAGACTTTATAACATGTTAGATTTCTATCTGCTAACTTAATGAACCTAAGTTCGTTCCGTGTCGGAAGCCGTATTTTTAATGGGTTCCTTATCACCAGTGGTGATATTCAGCGGGTTCGCACAGGTTCGGCCGAACCCGTTGTTAACATTTTCAAAGTTTTCCGAACCATTTGTTAAACACACGTAACATTTCTCAGTGGTTTTGTTTCTTTTAAAAAATATATTAAAATATACGTATTATACTCTGTAACACTACTAAACTAGAGCCTTATACCCTGTACGCCTAGTGCAGTGTGCCGTCACAAGGTGAAAGGTGTGACGGGAACTTTTACATGATTCTATTAATTTCGGGCTTTATTTATATATTTTTATCATAGTTGTTGTGTTTATTATGCTTGTATTTCATTCACTGATTAAATAAGATGATGTTAAAGCAATAAACACATATGTCATCCCAGTACTCACTTATTTTTTTGGAGTTATATATTGGACTCGCACAGATCTTGAGCAACTCCAAATGAAAACAAGAACAACACTTACTAAGCATGAACAACATCATCCTAAATCTGCCATAGAAAGATTAACCCTTTCACCTAAAAATGGCGGACGTGGCCTGATCGACATAGTTAAACTACACTACAAACAAATACAGACATTGCGAGAGTTTTTTTACAGTTACATAAAGCAGTAATTCTAGCAGACTCAAATAATACACTATTAAATTTACATTCACAACGTATGGACACGACACGACATGTAAATAGCATAGACACCATTAAGCAATCATGGGTGCAAAAGGTACTCCATGGCAGACATCCCTATGACCTGCCCCAGGATTTTGTTGACAAAACTGCGTCAAACAGCTGGTTAGCTCGG